AGAGCTCATGTGGCAGCCTGCGACTGGCAGGGGCTGCTGCCGCCTGGCAATGCCATGGCTGCTGGCGCTGGCCACGGTCTGTCCACTGTAGGCAGCTGTCCCCTGCAGTTGCAGTGCACAGCCTGGAGGCAGGGGCCAGCCCCCACACAGAGGCCTTCCTGGGCCTCTATGCTGACCACACAGGCAGTAAGAGCAAGGTGTCCTCCCGCTGGCGGCGGCAGTGGGACAGGCCCGGTGTGCCAGCTGGGTCAGTCCCCTCCTCAGGCTGCCGGCTGGAGGGCTCCGTGAGGCCCCCAAACGCTGTGACACTTTCACACTCACCTGTCCTCAGAGAGCTATTTTGGGAGGTGTTTTCTCTCTCCTGAGGATCACAGGGTCTCTGTTCTAGCAGGCTCTCGCCTGAGCCCAAGAGAGAGGCTGCTAATTATGCATGCGCCCCCTCCTGTCATCACAAGGGGTGACAAAAACTACAGTGAATGCGCTGCCACGCACCATCTAATGCAAAGGCAGTTCAAAAGTTAGGGTGCTGTGTCCTCACCTACTTCCTCACCCCGAGACTTCGGGCTGTCTCCCAAAGTCAAAATGACCAGAGAGGTCAAGGTTTTGAATCCATTCGGAACATTGAAATAACCATCACAGGGCAACCAAAGACGCACAGGAAAGCCTTCTGGGCTGCTGCTGAAAGGGCCCAGCGCGGCGGGTGCGCGTGTGCAAGCAAAGGGGAGCATTTTGGAGGCTCCATGGTGACATGTCTTCCACTGTAATATCTTTATTTGTTTGCGCATTTGCTGTATTTTTTTCATTCTCACCTAACATAAGCCCAGGTCCTCACGGCACGCAGGCTATAGGATGGCACAGTCGGCCTCTGCCGCGTTTCCCTGGCCTTCCGCTGCAACGTCTTCAGCCCCCACACCTCTCCCACAGTCTGGGGGGCCTCGCTCTCCTTCCAGGCTGAGGGCCCAATGTAACCCTCGTACAGGACCCGCACCAGGACAGAGCACACCGTCACCAGTGCCTCCCTCTCAGGACACAGGGGCTGCGTCCTGGTCGGGGGAGCAGACCGCGTAACCACTTGCCCTCTCACAGGAGCGGGGGGGTTAAATAAGTGAGCCTGGAAAGGGTCCGCTCGTTCTGGGGTGCAGCGCAAGGTAGAGCACTTGTCTAGCTGCAAGAGGGGCCGCATGTGCTCTCAGCACTAGGGGGACAGAGGGAGAAATAGACAGAGACAGAGACACAGAGAAAACGACTGACAGACAGAGAGATAGAAAGAGGGACACAGGAGAGGAGGGGAAGAGAGGAGAGAGACAGACAGAGACCGACAAAGGACAGAGAGAAAAGAAAGGAAAAGCAAAGGGGGGGATGGGTGGAGAGGGAAAAAACCTTCCCAAATCTTATAGAGAGACTCAGTTCAGGGTCTGAGGGGTAGAGGAGGAATCATACCTCAGCCTCACCCCATGAACCTTAGCCAGAGATGACCTCCTCAAGCCCTGGACTCCCATCTGGGGTAACAGGGAGTGAACTCAGGACCTTGGGCTTCCCAGGCAAGCACTGAATCTACTGAGCTATCTCCCTGGCCCAGCCTCCCATCTTTCCTTTTTTTTTTTTTTTTTTTTTTTTTTTTTGTGGTACCAGGGATTGAACTCAGGACCCTGCGCTTGCCAGGCAAGCACTTATTTTACTGAGCTATCACCCCGGCCCTCGGCCTCCCATCTTTGATCAGGGCTCAAAGCAAATACAGGCTGGCCGTCTGACAAGCAGGCAGCTGTGTGACCACCCCATGACCTGTCTCCCCAGCCTCTTTCCCCAGCACTCCCTACACGATGTCCACACCTCCTGCCAGCAACGGGGTCTTTGTCGTCATCCCACCCAGCAATGCTAGTGGCCTCCGCCCACCTCCAGCCATCCTGCCCACCTCCCTGTGCCAGCCCCCAGGCATCATGCAGTTCGAGGAGCCACCGCTGGGGACACAGGTGACCCGAGGGACCCAGCCACCTGACCTGCGTCCCATGGAGACATTCCTGACAGGAGAGCCCAAAGCTTTAGGGGTAAGACTGGCATCCCGTGACCACAGGCATCGGTGCTGGCCAGGGAAGCTACAGGGAGGGCACAGGTGGCAGGCAGATGCCCAGGAAAGGCCTCAGCCATGTGCCAAGGAAAGGCCCCTTTCCCGGGACTCTCAGGGGTGCACCCACAGCCAGAAACACAGACACAGCAAGGGGCTAAGAC